CCCTATCCGCGTTATTCAGCACTGAAGGATACTCCAAAAACTTATATTAATGCCTTACACTATCATTTGATGTCACCAATAAAGAGCCTTAGTATTTATGGCCAATAATTAATACAAGTTAGCTAGCATTCTTAATTGAAGACTAAATTGCATTCATATGAACTCGAGTTAGCTTTTAGGTTTATTAATGCAAAATGTCTAATCATAAGTGGAATGCCACATACTCATTATTGCCGGATGAAGACCAGCCAGCACTGGCCAAGTCACAGCAATTCTAAGTTACCTCTAGATATTAGTGAACATGAGAGTTAACGTTTTGAAGGAACCCTGGATGTACAGTCCACACTCGAAATGAATGGAAGGAGTACAATTACAATTTGTATTTTCACAAAGAAAACCAGTGACAAAAGTTTCCGATATACAACTGATTGCGGACATCCACAACTTGTCAGACAGACCAGAATACAAAATTCTCAGCTGACATTGGTCGGATCTGGACGAGTGTTTAGGACGAAATTGATCCGACTTAAACGGATGATCTCATATTGTAGTATATGGCAAACTGAAAACCATTTTCTTAATCAACACAATACGACGTAGCTACAGCAATGCAGGTAGGTATTAAGGCCATCATGCAAAATCTTACATCATATCATATTAAATTCTTAAAAATTCTACATAATCAGATAGAAAATAGTAAGATAAGATAAAGTTTAGAGCATCAGCAAAAATCTACCATAGTAAGCTATGCTTGCAAAGAACCAAGCACGAGAGACATTAAAAAAATTAAGTTCGCTGCAAAATAAAAACAATCAGTCCTGTCAGTTAAATATATAAATAAAAAACCATTAAGTTCCAATTGCTCACTTGTTTATTATTCAATTGTTTTTAAAAAATATTTTGATAGCAAGAACGTTTACATTTTCTTATTCTTGGGTTAAGCGCAAATGAATCTATCGGCTGTGAGTTGCCTATAGCAATGGTAAAAAAATTTATAATTTGAGTGTGCTTCGAAAGCATTAAGATAGATAATAAAATAATGGAGAAAATAAGACATTGATTGGCAGGAGGCTAGTCTGGTAAGTAGAAAGATAGGGACGTCGGCATTTATCGTGCAGAAGCAACGTGTACAGCAAGTTTGATCATTTTCAATCCTGAATAGTATCCTTTTGAAAAGCGTGATGACTTAGTGAAAAAGCGAAATTGGGAAAAAAGGGGGAATCAAAAGACAATCATCACAATTAAACCCATGATGCTTGCTCAAATACTCATAACATAGCTTTAAAGAATGTAGAGCTAAGGCAACTACAAATGTCTAGCATTACGATTTCTAAGAGGAGTAAAGCAGAGATAAAGGCAAATAAAAGCAGATTAAATAGAATTTAGGAATGCAGCAGTCCATGCCGCAAAATGCAACCAAGCTAAAGGCAGCATAGAAAGCAAGTTTATCGCAAAAAAGCCAGTTACCAGAGCATCAAGTAAGCTGGATTAAAAAGCAAGTGAAGAATGTTCAAAAATACAACAAGAAAGAGTAGATTAATCAAAGCAAGAAAAATAAAAAATCGAGCGAATACGAATCCGTTGTGGACGAAATGTTCAAAGAAATAGCTCCTAGAAAAAAGGAACGAGGCTAACAAAAGTGTCAATAGGATGCCAGCATGCGTTTCTTTGAGATGAAAGATTATTGCGCTACGAAGAAGATAAAAGGAGGGCTAAATTCTAAATTCCATAAGTAATGATTGAGACAATATTTATAAATCATTATAATTAACCACTTAGTCAATCGCAGCGAAAAAATTAAAAGATGAATTGCGTTTAACAACGAAGAAGAAAAGTCAGGGCGAATCGACGACTATGAATGGGATAAGTCAGAATAAGTCACTTAAGCACAAGAGAATAAGCAATGGAGATAATCGTTTTATTAAATAGATAACTGAATGACAAAAATTCGCCGGATAACCATAGCATCATGTATATGACGTTCATAAAAAAGTAAGTGATTCAATTGAATAAATAGTAGGTACGCTCGGATGAAATGTCCGTAAAAAATTAAAGCAAAAATCAAGGTAACAGTGCATTTTTTAGACGAAAAGTAAAAGTAACATGAAAAAATA